GGTACTCTCCGAAACCGATAGACCGCGATGTTGTCCGGAGTTGCTGTGGGATTAGTTGGATCGCGATACCATAGGAAGCGTGTCACGTCCCGGTCTGGCGGCCAGATGTCAAGTTGCAAGAATGCCTTCTCGATATCGGCTACCAGCAGAATGGGTGTGATGCGGAGTCGCATAAGAACTCCGGCAAGGTTGGGGAGCAACACGGGTCCACGTAGCAGACAGTTGTTCAAGCTCTTGTTGTGACGCCGTGCCTTGGCCGAGGCATCATAAACGACACGCAACTTGGTCGTCGTCTTCGTTGGAGTTAGAACTGGCTGGTGGGGTAGATAATGGAGTTGCGGACCAGTGACAGAATCCGGTGTCATCTGCTCAATGATGCCCATGTCGGCTTGCTGCTGGATCACCTTGTCATACTGCTCAAGTAGTGACGAGTCGGTGCTTAGCCGCCGCGATAGAGTCCGGAACCGGCCCAACGTCAATCCGTAGTTGTCCGGGAGAAACTGCTGCTGGCCGTTCCATGGCCAGCGAACGATGTAGCGATTATCGGTGCACTCCACTGTTGAGTGGAAATGTTGCAAGGCTACGTCATCGTCTTTCACGGGAGACGGGTGCTCTATCCCAAGCGTTTCGAGGCTCCACAAATCCGGAATGGACTGCTTAAGAGGCAGAACCTCCTCGTGTGAAACGTCGGCTGCGGCTGCGATCAGAGTGGTTGCCGGTAGGGCAGTGGTGGGAGAGGTGTCCGTCTTGCCGGTGACCACGTAGCCGAGGGAGGTTGGCAGAAGGTTGAGGCCTGATGGTAGAGGTTGCACATGGCCCTGCACGAAGTCCCACAGATAATCAGACCCAATGAGTATGTCGATCTTTAGCCGTTCATCTTCGGCGTTAATCGCATCAGCTAACTGGTTGTCGTGTTGCAGTTGCTGCAAGGTCGTGATGTCGGGGTGTGCAACCGCAGGACGGAGAACCGGGTTTGTGATGTGCGGTAAGACGCTGCCTTCGATGGCCTTCGTTGTACCATCCTTGAGATGAATGAACAGGTCGGAGATCGGTACCTGTGCTGTGTGGTGTTTGGTGGCACCAAAGGTTGACACGGACAGCCATTCATGGCGAGTATGGCGCAGGGAGAGCTGCCTTGCCAAAGCCTCCGTGAAGTACGTGCGATGGCTGCCTGAATCAAGAAGAACGCGAGCGGTGGTGATTGTACCATTGTTGCCTTGCACATTCGTTGTGGCGGTTTGGAGTGTGACAGTTGATCCTGTTGCTTGCAGGAGACACGATGACTGGTCCGAAGCAACTGTCTGGTCCGAAGCAACTGCCTGACCTGGAACCTGAGTGGGTGTGCACGTAGCGGTTGTAGTGTCAGAAGCTGCCACCGCTGCCGTGGAAGATGAACCGTCAGCTCGTCGGGTGGAATGCGAACCTACACCAGATGGCTGGCGACTCTGCGAGCAGATGGTATGGTGATGGTGACTTGGGTGCTTGCACATCCGGCAGGTCTGTGTTTGCCGTCGGTAACATTCCTGGCTGCGGTGACCGGAACCCAAGCAAATAAAGCAACGACGTAGCTCCATTAATCGTTGTTTCCTGGCAGCAGAAGATGTGTAGCGTGAGCAATCGTTGTCCATATGTTGGCCATCGCAGAATATGCAACCACGACGGGAACGTTGTGGTCGTCCTTGGGTATCAGGGTGAGCTGCCAGTGCATCCGCTGTGCTAAAGAGTTGCTTTGGCTGCACTCCAACAGCGTCAGGTTTGTTCGGAGGGCCTTGGCCAGTCCGCTGGCGGAGTTGCTCTTGTAGAGTTGTGTACTTGGCCATATACTCTCGTAGAGTGGTTAGTTTCCAGGGCTGGCCGGCGTTGCTGATACCACGCCACTCCTCAAACTTGGTGGCAACCTCGAGTGGAACCTTGCCCCACAGCTTTTGGCACAGGAGACGTTGATCTGCCAACTTCTCTCCCTGTGTTTCCAGCTGTCGAAGGAGACACTCCACAGTTTCGAAACTTCGATGGATCTCCATGGGCCTGTTGGGTGGTGCCGGTAGTGCTTCCAAACGGCTGTACAGGGATGCAATGATGATCTCCGCTGAACCATACTTCGTCTTCAACAGATCCTTGACGGTGGTATAGTTTGCACTTGTCAATGAGATGCCCGCTATGGCCTTCGCCGCATCGCCGGAAAGGCAAGATTTCAGGTATGAGAACTTGCTGACATCCGCAATGGGCTGGTTGTCGATGGAAGACTGGAATCGCTCCCAAAACTCTGGCCACTCAATCACCTTGCCAGAAAAGGACGGTAGAGTCAGCTTTGGCAGCTGGACGTTGAGGCGTGATGGCTGTGGGGCAGTACTGAGGCCAGCTGCCGCGGTTGCAGCGTGGGCTGCCGCTAATGCCATGGCCTGTATCATGTCCGGGGAATTGGTTGGTGTCGGGACAGTTGGCTGGGCCTGTGTTGTATCCGTATGCTGAGCCTGAGCCACAGGGTTCTGAGTAGTAGCACTGATGTCCGTGCCTGTGGACATTGTGCTACGCCTTGCCTCCACACCCGTGCTAGGGCTGTCCAGTCTGCCTGCAGCAGATTCCGTGTCGCCCGTGCCTGTTGCCGGCAATTCCTTTGATTCCAGCAGTTCGCCCGTGGGCCTGTCCGTCCCATCACTGTCCACGACCACTACCTCCTGTGTTGTATCGTGCCGGGTGGCCTTCTGGGGTGTTGCTGCCTCTGCAGCAAGCTCCGTCACCACTGGTGAATGTGTCCCTACCCCTCTATAGTCGAGTAGTGCACGTGCGTCCGACACACTTGTGCATTCGTGGTCAAAGCCATCATCCCAGGCTTCCAAATCAATTAGTGCGTCTTCCACACGCTCGTCTGCCTCGCAGTTCTCCAGCAGGGTACCAATCTGCTCGGACAGGTCGTTCACTGTGTCAATCAAGGGTAGGATTTTCTCAACATCACTCTGAAGTGACAACAGACTAACGAATTTCTCCTCCGTTTTACGGAGTTCATGTTCGATCCTCCTCCTTACTCGCGTCACCCTTCCCTTGGCCCTGCCTCGCTTCTTGACTAGGTCGTTGTAAACCACTTGGTCCAGGACGTGAGATGTGCTTTGCTTCTCAGTCGTCTGATCCAAGGACTCCTCTCCATCGTTCGTTGTTGTCTGTTCAACCTCTCCGTCCATCGTAAAAAAACGAAAGTTGTTGGACGCGTTGGTTCCAAATCCTGGTCTCTACAGCACCATGTCGAGAACGGTAGGGGAAGACAGACTCATCAGACTCATTCTCATACCACAGTTTCCTTTCTAAAAACTTCACCTTCAACCATAATCAAAACTTGCCAACCACCACCGTATGTGTGTGTGTGCGTGCGTGCATCATGCAAGCGCGGATCATGCGGAATGCAATGATGCAACTACAAGAAAACAAATCTCGGCAGCTAGCAACGAGTGCATTCAGAGAAGAAGAAAACAAGTTCAGATTCAAGTAGTTTGTGATGAGCAGCAGAGACAAACATGCAGGAGAGTATAATTATATGATCAGATGGAGGCGACATTGGGAATACTCGGATTCACAATGTACGCGTGCCATCAGCTGGGTAATCAGAGTCGTCGTTGGACATCGTAAGTAGTCTTCATGATGTGGTGACATTCATGACACTTGTCTATGTCCAGCTGCACAACGAGATGAGGCTGGTCATTGTCATTTTCTGAGCTGTGTACGGGCAGGAAGGTGAGAAAATGTCGGATTTTGACCATTTGTGTTGACCTTTGAATTTCAATGTACCTCTCTATAACATGACCCAGCTGTAATGTAAGTGTTCGCGTTGATTTGATTTTTGCATTGCTTGTAGGGCGCTCGCACCTACATTCAGTGACCCAAAAAATGTGGCACTGCTGGGAATAGTTTAGTCGCAAAGTGAAGATTCACGGGTAAAAAGCCCCAAACTGTGAGATTGGTTATTTTTCAGCTTTAAGCAGCCCTGTGCAAGTTCTTTAGAGAAATGTGCCTCTTTTTCTTGGTGCACTTGTCTATGTCCAGCTGCACAACGAGATGAGGCTGGTCATTGTCATTTTCTGAGCTGTGAACGGGCAGGAAGGTGAGAAAATGTCGGATTTTGACCATTTGTGCTGACCTTTGAATTTCAATGTACCTCTCTATAACTTCACCCAACTGTAATGTCAGTGGTCGCATTGATTTGATTTTTGGTTTGCTTGTAGGGCGCTGGCACCCACACTCAGTGACCCAGAAAATGTGGCACTGCTGTGAATAGTTTAGTCGCAAAGTGAAGATTCACGGGTAAAAAGCCCCAAACTGTGAGATTGGTTATTTTTCAGCTTTCAGCAGCCCTGTGCAAGTTCTTTAGAGAAATGTGGCTCTTTTTCTTGGTGCACTTGTCTATGTCCGGCAGCACAACAAGATGAGGCTGGTCATTGTCATTTTCTGAGCTGTGAACGGGCAGGAAGGTGAGAAAATGTCGGATTTTGACCATTTGTGCTGACCTTTGAATTTCAATGTACCTCTATAACTTGACCCAACTGTAATGTCTGTGGTCGCATGGATTGGACTTTTGGCACCCACATTCAGTCACCCAAAAAATGTGGCACTGCTGTGAATAGTTTAGTCGCAAAGTTAAGATTCACGGGTGAAAAGCCCCAAACTGTGAGATTGGTTATTTTTCAGCTTTAAGCAGCCCTACAGTGCATTTCAAAACTATAGACGCGTAGGGTTTTTGAAATATTTCAAATTTGGCTGGAACTTTTTGAGAATAGTTTTCGGAATATTGCTCAGGATCGCTCCACAATTACTCTCATAATAGTTTCTAAACGATTGGATAACAGACGCCCAATTTGGAAACATTTATGCACAAAGTGATCACAGATTTTATGTGGTATAGATGCTGGCATAACGGTTTTTGCCTAGATACGCGTCTATAGTTTTGAAATGGACTGTAGGCAATTTTTTAGAGAAATGTGGCTCTTTTTCTTCGTGCACTTGTCTATGTCCAGCTGCACAACAAGATGAGGCTGGTCATTGTCATTTTCTGAGCTGTGAACGGGCAGGAAGGTGAGAAAATGTCGGATTTTGACCATTTGTGCTGACCTTTGAATTTCAATGAACCTCTCTAAAACATGACCCAGCTGTAATGTCAGTGGTCCCATTGATTTGATTTTTGGTTTGCCTGTAGGGCGCTGGCACCTTCATTCAGTGACCCAGAAAATGTGGCACTGCTGTGAATAGTTTAGTCGCAAAGTGAAGATTCACGGGTAAAAAGCCCCAAACTGTGAGATTGGTTATTTTTCAGTTTTCAGCAGCCCTGTGCAAGTTCTTTAGAGAAATGTGGCTCTTTTTCTTGGTGCACTTTTCTATGTCCAGCTGCATAGCGAGATGAGGCTGGTCATTGTCATTTTCTGAGCTGTGAACGGGCAGGAAGGTGAGAAAATGTCGGATATTGACCATTTGGGCTGACCTTTGAATTTCAATGTACCTCTCCATAACTTGACCCAACTGTAATGTCAGTGGTCGCATGGATTGGACTTTTGGTTGTCTTGTAGGGCGCTGGCACCCACATTCAGTCACCCAGAAAATGTGGCACTGCTGTGAATAGTTTAGTCGCAAAGTTAAGATTCACGGGTAAAAAGCCCCAAACTGTGAGATTGGTTATTTTTCAGCTTTAAGCAGCCCTAGGCAAGTTCTTTAGAGAAATGTGGCTCTTTTTCTTGGTGCACTTGTCTATGTCCAGCTGCACAACGAGATGAGGCTGGTCATTGTCATTTTCTGAGCTGTGAACGGGCAGGAAGGTGAGAAAATGTCGGATTTTGACCATTTGTGCTGACCTTTGAATTTCAATGTACCTCTCTATAACATGACCCAGCTGTAATGTCAGTGGTCCCATTGATTTGATTTTTGGTTTGCTTGTAGGGCGCTCGCACCTACATTCAGTGACCCAGAAAATGTGGCACTGCTGTGAATAGTTTAGTCGCAAAGTGAAGATTCACGGGTAAAAAGCCCCAAACTGTGAGATTAGTTATTTTTCAGCTTTCAGCAGCCCTGTGCAAGTTCTTTAGAGAAATGTGGCTCTTTTTCTTGGTGCACTTGTCTATGTCCAGCTGCATAGCGAGATGAGGCTGGTCACTGTCATTTTCTGAGCTGTGAACGGGCAGGAAGGTGAGAAAATGTCGGATTTTGACCATTTGTGCTGACCTTTGAATTTCAATGTACCTCTCTATAACATGACCCAGCTGTAATGTCAGTGGTCGCATTGATTTGATTTTTGGTTTGCTTGTAGGGCGCTGGCACCTTCATTCATTGATCCTGAAAATGTGGCACTGCTGTGAATAGTTTAGTCGCAAAGTGAAGATTCACGGGTAAAAAGCCCCAAACTGTGAGATTGGTAATTTTTCAGCTTTCAGCAGCCCTGGGCAAGTTCTTTGGAGAAATGTGGCTCTTTTTCTTGGTGCACTTGTCTATGTCCAGCTGCACAACGAGATGAGGCTGGTCATTGTCATTTTCTGAGCTGTAAACGGGCAGGAAGGTGAGAAAATGTCGGATTTTGACCATTTGTGCTGACCTTTGAATTTCAATGTACCTCTCTATAACATGACCCAGCTGTAATGTAAGTGTTCGCGTTGATTTGATTTTTGCATTGCTTGTAGGGCGCTCGCACCTACATTCAGTGACCCAGAAAATGTGGCACTGCTGTGAATAGTTTAGTCGCAAAGTGAAGATTCACGGGTAAAAAGCCCCAAACTGTGAGATTGGTTATTTTTCAGCTTTAAGCAGCCCTGTGCAAATTCTTTAGAGAAATGTGGCTCTTTTTCTTGGTGCACTTGTCTATGTCCAGCTGCACAACGAGATGAGGCTGGTCATTGTCATTTTCTGAGCTGTGAACGGGCAGGAAGGTGAGAAAATGTCGGATTTTGACCATTTGTGCTGACCTTTGAATTTCAATGTACCTCTCTATAACTTCACCCAACTGTAATGTCAGTGGTCGCATTGATTTGATTTTTGGTTTGCTTGTAGGGCGCTGGCACCCACATTCAGTGACCCAGAAAATGTGGCACTGCTGTGAATAGTTTAGTCGCAAAGTGAAGATTCACGGGTAAAAAGCCCCAAACTGTGAGATTGGTTATTTTTCAGCTTTCAGCAGCCCTGTGTAAGTTCTTTAGAGAAATGTGGCTCTTTTTCTTGGTGCACTTGTCTATGTCCAGCAGCATAACGAGATGAGGCTGGTCATTGTCATTTTCTGAGCTGTGAACGGGCAGGAAGGTGAGAAAATGTCGGATTTTGACCATTTGTGCTGACCTTTGAATTTCAATGTACCTCTATAACTTGACCCAACTGTAATGTCAGTGGTCGCATTGATTGGACTTTTGGTTGTCTTGTAGGGCGATGGCACCCACATTCAGTCACCCAAAAAATGTGGCCCTGCTGTGAATAGTTTAGTCGCAAAGTTAAGATTCACGGGTGAAAAGCCCCAAACTGTGAGATTGGTTATTTTTCAGCTTTAAGCAGCCCTAGGCAAGTTCTTTAAAGAAATGTCGCTCTTTTTCTTCGTGCACTTGTCTATGTCCAGCTGCACAACAAGATGAGGCTGGTCATTGTCATTTTCTGAGCTGTGAACGGGCAGGAAGGTGAGAAAATGTCGGATTTTGACCATTTGTGCTGACCTTTGAATTTCAATGTTCCTCTCTAAAACATGCCCCAGCTGTAATGTCAGTGGTCGCATTGATTTGATTTTTGGTTTGCTTATAGGGCGCTGGCACCCACATTCAGTGACCCAAAAAATTTGGCACTGCTGTGAATAGTTTAGTCGCAAAGTGAAGATTCACGGGTAAAAAGCCCCAAACTGTGAGATTGGTTATTTTTCAGCTTTCAGCAGCCCTGTGCAAGTTCTTTAGAGAAATGTGGCTCTTTTTCTTGGTGCACTTGTCTATGTCCAGCAGCACAACGAGATGAGGCTGGTCATTGTCATTTTCTGAGCTGTGAACGGGCAGGAAGGTGAGAAAATGTCGGATTTTGACCATTTGTGCTGACCTTTGAATTTCAATGTACCTCTCTATAACATGACCCAGCTGTAATGTCAGTGGTCGCATTGATTTGATTTTTGGTTTGCTTGTAGGGCGCTGGCACCTTCATGCAGTGACCCAGAAAATGTGGCACTGCTGTGAATAGTTTAGTCGCAAAGTGAAGATTCACGGGTAAAAAGCCCCGAACTGTGAGATTGGTTATTTTTCAGCTTTCAGCAGCCCTGGGCAAGTTCTTTGGAGAAATGTGGCTCTTTTTCTTGGTGCACTTGTCTATGTCCAGCTGCACAACGAGATGAGGCTGGTCATTGTCATTTTCTGAGCTGTGAACGGGCAGGAAGGTGAGAAAATGTCGGATTTTGACCATTTGTGCTGACTTTTGAATTTCAATGTACCTCTCTATAACATGACCCAGCTGTAATGTCAGTGGTCCCATTGATTTGATTTTTGGTTTGCTTGTAGGGCGCTCGCACCTACATTCAGTGACCCAGAAAATGTGGCACTGCTGTGAATAGTTTAGTCGCAAAGTGAAGATTCACGGGTAAAAAGCCCCAAACTGTGAGATTGGTTATTTTTCAGCTTTCAGCAGCCCTGTGCAAGTTCTTTAGAGAAATGTGGCTCTTTTTCTTGGTGCACTTGTCTATGTCCAGCTGCACAACGAGATGAGGCTGGTCATTGTCATTTTCTGAGCTGTGTACGGGCAGGAAGGTGAGAAAATGTCGGATTTTGACCATTTGTGTTGACCTTTGAATTTCAATGTACCTCTCTATAACATGACCCAGCTGTAATGTAAGTGTTCGCGTTGATTTGATTTTTGCATTGCTTGTAGGGCGCTCGCACCTACATTCAGTGACCCAAAAAATGTGGCACTGCTGGGAATAGTTTAGTCGCAAAGTGAAGATTCACGGGTAAAAAGCCCCAAACTGTGAGATTGGTTATTTTTCAGCTTTAAGCAGCCCTGTGCAAGTTCTTTAGAGAAATGTGGCTCTTTTTCTTGGTGCACTTGTCTATGTCCAGCTGCACAACGAGATGAGGCTGGTCATTGTCATTTTCTGAGCTGTGAACGGGCAGGAAGGTGAGAAAATGTCGGATTTTGACCATTTGTGCTGACCTTTGAATTTCAATGTACCTCTCTATAACTTCACCCAACTGTAATGTCAGTGGTCGCATTGATTTGATTTTTGGTTTGCTTGTAGGGCGCTGGCACCCACACTCAGTGACCCAGAAAATGTGGCACTGCTGTGAATAGTTTAGTCGCAAAGTGAAGATTCACGGGTAAAAAGCCCCAAACTGTGAGATTGGTTATTTTTCAGCTTTCAGCAGCCCTGTGCAAGTTCTTTAGAGAAATGTGGCTCTTTTTCTTGGTGCACTTGTCTATGTCCGGCAGCACAACAAGATGAGGCTGGTCATTGTCATTTTCTGAGCTGTGAACGGGCAGGAAGGTGAGAAAATGTCGGATTTTGACCATTTGCGCTGACCTTTGAATTTCAATGTAGCTCTCTATAACATGACCCAGCTGTAATGTCAGTGGTCCCATTGATTTGATTTTTGGTTTGCTTGTAGGGCGCTGGCACCTACATTCAGTGACCCAGAAAATGTGGCACTGCTGTGAATAGTTTAGTCGCAAAGTTAAGATTCACGGGTAAAAAGCCCCAAACTGTGAGATTGGTTATTTTTCAGCTTTCAGCAGCCCTGTGCAAGTTCTTTAGAGAAATGTGGCTCTTTTTCTTGGTGCACTTGTCTATGTCCGGCAGCACAACAAGATGAGGCTGGTCATTGTCATTTTCTGAGCTGTGACCGGGCAGGAAGGTGAGAAAATGTCGGATTTTGACCATTTGTGCTGACCTTTGAATTTCAATGTACCTCTATAACTTGACCCAACTGTAATGTCAGTGGTCGCATTGATTGGACTTTTGGTTGTCTTGTAGGGCGATGGCACCCACATTCAGTCACCCAAAAAATGTGGCCCTGCTGTGAATAGTTTAGTCGCAAAGTTAAGATTCACGGGTGAAAAGCCCCAAACTGTGAGATTGGTTATTTTTCAGCTTTAAGCAGCCCTAGGCAAGTTCTTTAAAGAAATGTCGCTCTTTTTCTTCGTGCACTTGTCTATGTCCAGCTGCACAACAAGATGAGGCTGGTCATTGTCATTTTCTGAGCTGTGAACGGGCAGGAAGGTGAGAAAATGTCGGATTTTGACCATTTGTGCTGACCTTTGAATTTCAATGTTCCTCTCTAAAACATGCCCCAGCTGTAATGTCAGTGGTCGCATTGGTTTGATTTTTGGTTTGCTTGTAGGGCGCTGGCACCCACATTCAGTGACCCAAAAATTTTGGCACTGCTGTGAATAGTTTAGTCGCAACGTGAAGATTCACGGGTTAAAAGTCCTAAACTGTGAGTTTGGTTATTTTTCAGCTTTCAGCAGCCCTGGGCAAGTTCTTTGGAGAAATGTGGCTCTTTTTCTTGGTGCACTTGTCTATGTCAAGCTGCATAACGAGATGAGGCTGGTCATTGTCATTTTGTGAGCTGTGAACGGGCAGGAAGGTGAGAAAATGTCGGATTTTGACCATTTGTGCTGACCTTGTTACTGAATTGTTTCTACTACTACTAGCTTAATTAACCACCCCTGCATCCAACCCTTGGCATGCTACAACCGACAACCGTTGCAAACTTGGGTGAGAGAATACATACAGTAGATTCAGTATAAACTTTGGAAAGAAGATCATCGAAAGAAATGAAAAGGCAGCTGCATCAGCATGCAGCTGCGCATCAAAATCAAATGTAAAGATGGCGACCATGATGACTGCGACGTGGATAAACTGCAAAACAAACTAGTGCAGCGACACTGACTCGAATGAGTAAAGAAGCGGAGAAGACGAAACGGCAAGGAAAGCGGATCGCTACGATCGCTCAAATGCACTAGCCTAGAGTAGAGCGTGCATATATAGCGCATGCAGTCAAACGGTCACGTGATAAGTGCGTACACAAGTCATACGTCATAATAATGCAGTTGACAAAGAAAAGGAAACAAAGCTGAGCGCGCGCGAGGCAAACAAATCTGCAGAGCGCGAAAATATAAACACATTGAACGAAGGATTTGTTTGAGAACAAAATGCACAGGCAGACAAAGAAGAAACAGTTCGAAGCTAGAATCAATGTCCGTGTTTCTTAGAATCAATCATGGAGAAAGCTAACTAAGAGTAACTACCTCTGTCACGCAAGACCGGACCTAAACACCTACGAAGTAAGAATTGATGTGTTACGAGAAATACGTGTAGTGAAATAAATTGGTGTGCATTGCATCGTGACACAACTTGCCAAGCTGCATGTACGTGATTGTAAATGTACAAACAACATGCAACGTCGTAGTAAGCACAATCGTAACTCGTGAATTCCGTGTTGTTGACTCAAGGCAAGCAGTACCTCGTGTACACGCTGACAACGACGAACGAATTGATTAGACTCTGATAATAAATACTAATAATATGAAAGAACAACAAAACGTAAATGTCACCTACGATTACACAACACCTCTCCCCGAGGTGAATTTACAAGGAGAGGCGAACAGGGGGGCGAATCGAAGCACGATCGCGCAACCCATAACCATGCTGAACGACAGGAATAGGCCAATCTAGACTGACTAGCGATTCCTCCTCCTCGGGCAACTCAGCAACAACAGGAGCTGGAACATTAAGAACAGCAGGCTCACGAACGGGAACAGACTTCAACAGGGCGACATTGACAGTCTTGTCTCGACGACCAGGCTTCGAAATACTAACAGTGGAGGGTGAAACAACAGACTGTACAACCCAACCGTCCTCGAAAGCAGACTGACGTTTCTGGTGACGGTCAGGACGCAACAACAGGACACAATCACCAACCTGGTAAGGGCACGGTTGGACGGGCTCGATAAAGTCTGTTCGGGACAAAGCATCATCCACCAAATCTCGAATGCGTGCTGAACGAGCAGACAGGGTATCCACCCAATGACTCGCCGAGTACAGCAATGGCTCGGATGCAATTAACAGATGAGGTGGCTGCCAACCAACCATAGCTTGCGTGGGCGACAGACCAGTTGCACTATGGGGGCGATTACGGTAGCAGTACAAGAGCATATCAAGGTCCAACAGCCAATCACCAGTGGACGAATCTAAAACCTTGCGCATCAGCCCGAGCACAGTGCGATTCATGCGCTCCGCAGACCCTTGTGATTGCGGGTGACGCACAGCACCAGTACGAACAGTAACACCCATAACCGAAAACAGGGAAGACACAATGGCATTGCAAAATTCCGTACCATTATCCGTACGAACACAATCTGGTGCACCCCAGACCTGACACATCCGCACAAAAGCAGCAGCAACAGAAGCAGCATCATGGCGCTGTAGCGGAGCAATTTCAACCCACTTGGTGAAAGTGTCAACACACACCAAGACACAATGAAAGGGGGAACCATTACTCGAGCCAAGCTCTAGAACATCTAACACCACCTCACCCCATGGGCGACCAGAAATAGCATGACGCGAAGCAGCAACAGACGGACCACGACGAGGGTTAGCAGCACTGCATTGCAAACACTGAGACACAAAACTCTGACACACAGACGCAAGACC